ACATCGTTGAAGACATCAAGCAGAAATGCTGCTATGTGGCCGTGGATTATGCGAACGAGGGAACCCACGGTGTAGACTATGAGCTACCAGACGGTCAGGTCATCACCATCGGCAAAGAAAGATGTAAATGTCCGGAAGCTCTCTTCAACCCATCGGTCATGGAATCAAACGAAGAAGGTATTCACACCATGACCAGCAACAGTTTGAAACGAGTAGAGCCCCAGATTAGAAAGCTCATGTTCGGTAATGTTCTGCTGAGTGGAGGCACCACATTATTCGATGGCTTCAATGTTCGTTTCTGCAAAGAGATTTTTCCTCTGGCCCCTCCTGACATTAAACCCAAAATCCACGCTGTCCCAGAAAGGAAGTATGCTGTTTGGATTGGTGGCTCTATCCTGGCCTCATTGCACGCCTTCCAGTCTTTATGGATTCGCCAAAAAGATTATGAAGAAGAAGGCCCGTTAATAGTGCATCGTAGATGCTACTGAGAACCATGTACTTCTTTTGTCCTATTATAGTTTCAAAATATTAAAGATTTAAACTTTATCATTTTGTGTAGGGATGATAAAAAAAGTTAATACATCAACTTGTTTCTTAATTTTTGCTATCAACTATTCAGAACTATTAATGTCAATCTCAAATATGTTTCTTCATATGTTCAGGTGAGCTTCAAGATTACTGTATTATTTAAAAATACTTTGTTAGAAATTATATTTAAGGAATTAAATCATCAAAGAAATGCACACAACGATGCAGATAACTTGCTTTATTTTCTTGCTGAATGTAACACTTTCCAAGGTTTGAGAAGTCTGATGTAGGACAACATTCAGCTCTAATGCAAAAGTGGCCTCTTACAGTGTATTCAAAGTGTTCAGTTGATTCGAGTAGTGCACTAGTTTTCATTTGAAAATTGAGGTCTTGTTATGTAAATAGGATTCTGATTGCCATTTTAGATAGGACCTGATTTAAACAGTTTCACTGCTGATAAGAGAGCAGTGGCACCCTAAGGGTAAATCTTGAGATATTTCTGGTGATTTCAGTGAAGCCAGAGTGTACTTCCAGGGAACACACAAAGAAAAGAAAGCAAAGTATCATGCTTGCTGGAGATCTGACATATTACCAGAAAGTCATAGAGACATTCAGCAGGTCTGGCAACATCTGTGGAGTGAGAAACACTCAAAATTAACATTTCAGGTCTGATATAAGGGGAGGCAATGGCCTAGTGGTATTGTTGCTGGACTGTTAATCCAGAGAGCCAGATAACATGGCAGATGGTGGAATTTGAATTCAGTAAATATCTGGAATTTAGAATCTAGTGATGACCATGAGTCGATGGTTGGGAAAAACCCACCTGGCTCACTAATGTCCTTTCGGAAAGGGAACCTCCATCCTTAACTGACCTGGCCGACATGTGACTCCAGACCCACAGCAATGTGGTTGACTCTCAGCTGCCTTCTGGGCAATTAGGGATGGGCAATAAATGCTGCCTGGCCAGCAACACCGTCATTCTGTGAATGAATAAAGGTTAAAAAAAGATATCTCTTTGGAAATGAAAATATTACCTGTGCAGTTATTGTCCTGTGATTGCAATCCACGTTCCACTGCTCAGAGCTTTACTGGCAGCAGCTCCTGGTGACCTCCAGTTTTTAATCTGAAAAGCTGCAACAGTATGTTTGTTAAATGCCCTACAACTGTGATGATACATTATATGGGCCGGACCTGAAAATCATGGCCACTTTGTCACCCAAATGGCCAATCAAACTCAGTGCATTGTCAGTCAGCTGTCCAAAAGCCTTAGTTGGGCTGGTAAATTTAGTTGGCTAAAATTCAGGATCATGTCGACAGTGTGGGTTTAATTCCCATTCCGGCTAAGGTCAATTTGAACTCTGTGTCTTTGCCATGCCTCAGAGAAGTTAATGGAATACCGCCATTGGCAAAAAGTGTCTGCTGATGCTCAGGATGAAGCATCAGCAGAGAATGGCCAAAGACCTGTCCTCAGACAGAGCACATAAACCACACCTTATATTGTACACTGCTCAGCTTATCAAGTATGTTATTATTATGCAAATTAGGTTAGGTACCATAGTGAAATTGGAGCAACAACTGCTATTTATCTAACAGTATAAAGGAGATATAACATTCTAAAATGCTTAATGGAAGTCTTATCAAACAACATTCAACTTCCGACACACAGATGAACCTATTAAGACAGGTGACCAAAAGCTTGATCAAAGACAGATTTTAAGGAGTTTCATAAAGGCGGGGGGGAAAGAAGCAATAAGGAGGTTTAGGGAGGCAATCCCAAAGCTTAGTTCCTAGACAGTCAAGACATTGCTTGCTAATGCTCTAGTATAGTAAATCAGGATGTGTAACAGGCCAGAACTGGAACAATGCAGAGTTTGCAAAGGTTTAAGGAGCTGAAGATGTTTCACAAAATGTGGAAACCTGAGGACATAGAGGGATTTAAACGCAAAGATAAGAATTTAAAATTAGAAGCATTGTTGAACTGGGAATCAATGTACAACAGCCAGCATCAAGGTGATTGATGGATGGGACATTATGTAAGTTAGGATAAAGGCACTCATGTATTGAAGGTGGAATATATGAGACCAGCGAGGAGATTCATAGAATAATCAAGTCTAGAGGTAACAAAGTGTTCAGACTGCAGGTGGACCAATGCGATGGTGGAGAGGAGTGACATTAGAAAGACAGAAATTGAGAAGATATGAAGTTGGAAACTAATCAGTTTCAAATAAGTTTCCTTGAATTAATTTGGAACATATTTCTATACATCCAATATTAGATGTCTTCATTATGTAAAATCTAATGCAATGGAGGTGTCAATAAAAATGCTAGATAAACAGCTGGGTGTTGTCATAGTACATGTGGAATCTGATGTTTTTGCAGTCATGTTCTCGAGGGGCAACTTGTAAATAAGAAATGGGAAGTCCTGCATTAATTCCGGAAGTAAACAGGGGAAGTTACTGGATTCTATCATCAGACACAAATTGACCTCTTTGCGGAAAATGGTATGACTTGATCAAAGAGAACCCACATGAATTAGTAGAGGATAAAATTAAGTCACTATAGTCCTACCAGACCATAGGGCTTCTCTCTTGCTAAGGAGAATCGATTGCTGACAATTTAACCTGACAACCTCAGGTAAGGAGAAAAGTTGAGAAGGACAGTCTTTCATGATAACCTCAGCCAGCGCAGGAATTGAACCCGCACTGTTAGCATCATTAACCAGCTGCCCAACTGAGCTAACTCCCTGCAGCTGTGTCTGATTAATTTTTTAGGCAGTCACTAGCATGGTGGGTTATAGAGTATGCTTGGATGTCTCTAAATCAACTTCCATAATTAAATAGGATTTTGCATGAGGTTATGAGCAAAATTAAAACAACAAGGAATTGGAGGTAGAGATAGTAGGAACTGCCGATGCTGGAGTCTGAGATAACCAGGTGTAGAGCTGGATGGACACAGCAGGCCAGGCAGCAGCAGAGGAGCAGGAAAGCTGACGTTTCCGGTCTGGACCCTTCTTCAGAAATTAGGAATTGGAGGTGACCTTGTGACACAGGTCGGTAATTGGTTGAGAGTTGGGAATCAGAAGATAGGGTTAGACGAAACAATTTCAGATTTGCCTTATTCTAATACTCAGGATTGGATTTTCAGATCCTGACCCTGTGGCAGTATTAGCAATTTCCATACCCAAAGGGGAAGCCAGTTCAGCAGTAAATTAGCAACATGAGGAGGAACCTGGAGGTGTGGCATAGTTAAACAAGACAATTTGAAACAGTGAATGGCAGTCATTATGGAGCAGAAGGGTCCTCAAAGGTCACCACTGACTTGGTCATGGGTCCTCATGCAGCACCAAGTTTCTCAGATCCATCCTTGTGCTTTTAATCAATGCAGTGCCAGCCATTAAAGATATCTTGGCTTCTGAGGAAGGGTCACTGGGCCCAAAATGTTAACTTTGTTTTTTCCTTCACAGATGCTGCTAAACCTGCTGAGCTTTTTCAGCAACTTTGTTTTTGCTCCTGATTTACAGCATCCGCAGTTCTTTCGGTTTTTATTAAAGCTATCTTGTTTGAGTTATTGTGGGTAAATCACCACAAGCCACATTTAATTCGGCTACTTATTAAGAAATCTCATAGACAATCAAATACTGAAACAATGATTTAAACTTTATTGCTTGTAACAACCAAAATAAGACCCCTCAAGTAAGCAAGTTAAGTCTCAACTTAACTTTGCTATTATCCAATTAAAGGCCAAATTTAGCAACAATTCCAACCAACAGTATCTGTCTGTAATGTCCAGAGTTTGATCCTTATGCAGTGTTATTCTTTGAAGTTCTGCTAATGAAGGGCTCAGGAGTGGATTTCTTATGATTTCATCTTTTCCGTCTATGGTGTAACAATATTGATGATTTTACATTCTTCCATCTCAAATATTGATTATTCTTTTGGAGTTCTTGAGTCTACAGCTTGCTTCCTTGTCAAAAGTAACTTGTCTGTTCCTTGTTACATTCAGTGTCGAATGTTTGAAGACAAAACTTTCCTGCAGTTAATTCCTTAAATTCTTCTGCAGGGTAATCGGTTGTCCTTGTGGCATAAAGCAGCTATTTATCAAGCAGATGTCAAAACAGTTTTGTTTGTGTAGACTCAACTTGTTCTTCATCCAGACATGGCTAATTGCTTTCAATTAATGTATAAGTTTGTCTTGTCCTTTAATAGTTTATTCCAGACAGAGTTATTGCTGCTTCTTTCAATCTTTGAACAGTTATTAAAGTTCTAAAGTTTATAATACCATACTATCTTCTGGCAGAAGAAATGCATCCAGAGGATCAAAGAGGCTTAGTTGGCAATGGAGCTCTGCAGCAGAGAAAGACACAGGTCCGGTACAGAAAGAGATTCAACGATCTGATACATCAGGAAAGGTAAGTGACAGGTCTCTAGAGTCATACAGTCATAGAGATGGACAGCACACAAACAGACCCTTTGGTCCAACTCATCCATGCCGACCAGATATTCTACATTAATCTAGTCCCATTTGCCAGCATTTGCCCTATATCCCTCCAAACCTTTCCTATTCATATACCCAGTTTGAATGGTGTAATTCTACCAGCTTCCACCATGTCTTCTGGCAGCTGATTCCATACATGCAACAATCTCTGCATGAAAAAATTGCCCCTTAGGTCCCTTTTAAATTTTTCCCCTCTCACCTTAAACCAATGCCATCGAGTTTTGGACTCCCCTACCCTGGTGAAAAGACCTTGAACGTTTATCATATCCAGGCCCCTCATGATTTTAGAAACTTCTATATGGTCACCCCTCAGCCTCTGGTGCTCCAGAGAAAATAGCCCCAGCCTATTCAGCCTCTCCCTATAGCTCAAACGTTCAAATCCTGGCACCATCCTTGTTAGTCTTTTCTGAACCCTTTCAAGTTTCACAACATCTTCCCCATAGCAGGGAGACCAGAACTAAATGCA